GCGTGCCTGTAATCCCAGCTACTCAGGAAGCTGAGGCAGGAGAATTGCCTGAACCCAGGAGGCGGAGGTTGCGGTGAGCCGAGATCGTGCCATTGCACTCCAGCCTGGGTAACGAGAGCGAAACTCCGTCCCCCCCCAAAAAACAAACAAACAAAAAAGATATATTATTCCTATATGTGTTGAGATAAGGAACAAAGTGAGGCTGTAGATTTTTTGTAGTTTGAATTTCTATCAGAGATGGCTGGACTATAGCCAGTAGCTCATATTTCAACTTAGTTTTGTCGTATTTTTCACACATGCTGTATCCCAGGATACCCAACAGATCTAAATTTGTACATTTTACTTTTAGAACTGTTCAAAAATAATCACGAAGCACAGACCACATGAAGCCCAAAAATTAAGCAGTTTTAAAATGAATAGGGAACAGATGAACTTTAGAGTGCAAGATGAATAAGAATTTTTCTGTACTGAATGTCAAGAAAGTTTGGAGTAATCATAGTGAAGTAGGATGGACATTAAAAGGAAAAAATATTCTGTGTGATTTGAATATGTCCCATCTCCCTCTGTGAAGTCTGAATGTCATTGCCATCCCTAGGTATAATGAGTTAGGTAGTTGCTTCAGGCTCTAGGCTCTGAGTGGTGCTTGCTATTGTAGTAACCAGCTCTGCATAGCTGGCCAATTATTTGAGGAAACAGTGGCATGGGGAGAATTTTTAAAGTTCTATGTAGGAAAACTTGGGCTTTCTTTAGAGCAAAGCATAGCCTCTTGCAAAGAGGATCCCTATTTTTTTTTTCCCCACTATATCCAACTGGCTGACCTTATTATCTTGATATGATTTCATCTTCTTTGGAGATGAAAAGTGTGTAAAAGAGGGAAACACAGATCATATTGTGATTTACTTCTCCTGGACTACATATTATCTCTAGGATGACCCCTAAGTATCCTTAATAATAATCTTACCTACAGCACTTTGATTGATTGATTGAGATCAATCAATCAAAGCAGCCACGTGGCGCAAAGCAGCGGCGCTGGCCCGCACAGCCGTGCTGGCCGAAACAGCCGCGCTGGCGACCCGTGGAGCTCCTGCGCCTGGGAATTTCCTAGTCTGTTGGCAATAAAAATGTGGCGTCCACTCACCCTCTGCACTTTCACTGGGAGCTGCAATCCTGAGCTGTTCCTAAACGGCCATCTTGGATCCTCCTACTGAATTATGTTTCTTTTACAGTCAGTGGTTCAATTTGTTTAGGGCTGACTTCTGGAAGATGAGGCACATTTTAGATAAGAAGAATGTATAACCAAATGTGTTGAAGTAGAAATGTAAAAAGCTTTTTCTGGGAGCAATGATAATCTGATGATTGTAATACTGTGGGCATAGTGATGTAAGGGCCTGAACTAGTGACAACTGAAAGAAAAGAACTGAATAATTATGCAAGAAAATAAGTGTAACGGGGTGCTAATTTCTCCACTTTCAAAACTCCCACAGCACCGTGTTATTGAACTAATTGTATGCTCCGTTGTAATGTTAATTATTATATCCATATGTCTTTCTAACTAAACTGTGACTTTTCAAGGCAAGGACTGTATCTTATTCATTCATTCTTTTGCAGATAATTATTGATCAAGCCCTGTTTCAAATGCTGGGGATAAAGCTGTGTGCAAAGACAAAAATATCCCTGCCCTCAATGCCAAGGAATATATTCACTTAATTTTTATCAGTGCTGGGTATTCCCAAGTAAATATCTAATATGGGACCCAACTTTAAAAGGTAGTATTAAGATGGCCTGTTTGTGTCTGTTTAGGTGTATTGCAATAGGTTTTTTTTTTTTTTTGGGGTTTTGAATTTTTTTTTTGAACTTGATACAAAAAATTACTGTGCATTCAGATTAAACCAATATTTCTTACCTTAATGAAAAATAATATAGCACTTTGATACAATGAAAAGAGCACTACCCTGGGAGAGTCTGGAGTTCTAATTGGACTCTACTATTGAATAAGTTTGCACACTTTAACCTTTTTAGAGCCTTACTTTTCTGATATGTAAAATAAAAGGGTTGATATCTCTTAGCACTCACACTTTGAATCTGAAAGTGGGGCAAAACATTCTTTCTTGTGGCCTTTGAATAAATGTTTTGTGCTTTTAATTGAATGACTGGAAACAAAACCAAGAGCTGTCATTTTATATATTTCACTTGAGTTATAATCAGCGGCTAAATGTTTTTTCCTTTTGTTTTACAGACTTAGGTCTGGATCAATATATAATAAAACGCTTTGATGGAAAGGTAAGCAAACTATGACACTTCTATACATATATCCTATTATTTTACTAAGAAGATTTTTAAGTTTCTCTATAATTATATGTGAGAAATCACTGAATACCTATTTATCTTATCAAAAGAGCATGCTTAGGGTAGGAGGTCTGTACCTTCATATGCCTCTACTGAAAGAATCAAGCAGAAGATTCTATATTTTTCTATGTAAGGTAACTCTCATGTAGTGCCTACTGTATATATTAAGGGCTAATTTTGTGTCTGTTGACTTTTGAATGTTAATAGCCATCATAAAGATTAATAAGCCCCCCAATATTATATTGGCATTTCTTACAAAACACTTCCCTGACTTGACCTTCCTCAGACTTTAAGATAGTGTTTAGCAATAATGTTTTTTTTGTTTTTTTTTTTTGAGATCGAGTCTTGCTCTGTAGCCCAAGCTGGCATACAGTGTTGCAATCTCGGCTCACTGCAAACTCTGTCTCCCTGGTCCCAGTTCAAGCAATTCTACCTCAACCTCCCAAGTTGCTGGGATTACAGGCATGAGCCACCATGCCCAGCTAATTTTTGTATTTTTTTTATTAGAGATGGAGTTTCACCATGTTGACCAGTCTGGTATTGAACTCCTGACCTCATGATCCACCTGCCTCAGCCTCCCAAAGTGTTGGGATTACAGGCGTGAGCCACTGCGCCTGGCCGCAGTAATCTTAACTAGAAAATTACAAAGGTCCTTGTAGTGCTTTTATAATAATTATGAGGACAACTCCAAATTTGCCTATAAGTTTGCACTGTATTTATTTTCAATTATTTATACCTGAATAAACAGTATAACAAATTATTCTTAGGTATAGAAAATGAGACTTTCAGTTTTATTATCTCATAAAGCAGTCAAATATGTTTTTTCCTTTCAGGCTAAATTCTCCAAAAAGAAAATATTACACAGGGTCAGAAAGAAAAGTAAAGGGTCAATTTTACACAGGATAAAGAAGGCACTTCAGAAAGAAGAAAGAGCCAGGCATGGCTCTACAAAGCACAAGGAACAGGAAGTCAGAAGGAAAATCATGGAGTGGCTGGAAAAGGCAGGATCACAAAAGAGGGTCTAGATGGGGAGAGGTCAGGGTTAGTAGAAACTGATCTTGCAGAAATGTGCCAATTCCTGCATCATTACATAAAACTCCATATCATGGTAAGGTGGAGGGATAAGTGTTGACCCCTTTTGTACAATTGAAAATAATGAGTAGCTGCCTTAAGATTTGAGAGATCTCAGCTAAGGTACCTGCCTAAAAATTATCTTTTCCATTAAGGTGGCACCGTGCCTAAAGTGCCTCCATCTGTGAATACCCTCTTTTTAAAGTCACATATTCTAAAAGAATGATCAAAAAGGAAGGGCACTGAACTAGATTTTAGGAGACTTAGGCTCAAAGCCCTAACTCTGCTTTGGGGCAGCTTCATCTTTTCTCTGATCCCTGGTGTCTCTGCTTTATCTATAATAAAGTACCCTATCCAGTGTAAGGACTTACTACAACACTTCTGATTTCAGAGTCTTTGGAGGGTCAGGTCCCTATCTTACCTGTTTTTGTGTCACTCAGAGTCCAGCATAGGCCTGGCAGACAGGAGGCAAACATTAAATGTTTGATGACTTGCAAAAAATTACAGTAGTCAATCACATGTTCCTTGGTGGAGGTCTGACTCATTAAGTCAGTAAGAACTTACAGCAAATTCATTTTAACAAATAGCTTTTTTGGTCACTGAAAGAATCCATAGTAGCATGAGAGTTTGCTCCTCTCTTGTATACATATGTATAAACCTGAAAACATACAAAGAAGTTGAATATGTGCAAGTTGAACAACAGATTAATGTGTTATAAGGGGATTTCCGTTCTTAGAGATTTTCCAAATATAAAATCTGTAATGATAACTCATGTTTCCTGTATGCTCTTCAGTTTTTTCCTGTTGTGGCCCAGTAACTATTTGGTCTACTTGATCCTAAGAATTGGCAGCTTTTGGGTGGGCGCAGTGGCTCACGCCTGTAATCCCAGCACTTTAGGAGGCCAGGGCAGGCAGATCATGAGGTCAGGAGTTCAAGACCAGCCTGGCCAACATAGGGAAACCCCATCCCTACTAAAAATTAGCCTGGTGTGGTGTTGGGCCCCTATAATCCCAGCTACTTGAGATGCTGAGGCAGGAGAATCGCTTGAAACTGGTGGAGGTTGCAGTGAGCTGAAATCATGCTACTGCGCTCCAGCCTGGGCAACAAGAGCGAAACTCTATCTCAAAAAAAAAAAAAAAAAGAAGAAGAATTGGCAGCTTTTGGCATTACTGATGAGCTTCATCATTGTTTTTGTTATATTAAATCTGTGAGCTCTACATTTCTTATTGCTAGTATTTTTCTGCTTTTCATTTTTTTTTTTTTTTTATAAAATAGCAAGAATAAAATACAATAAAAGTGTTTGAGTACCCACCTTGTGGTGACAAAAATGGCAGTGTTTTTGTGTTTGGAAGGCAGATTTAACAGGTTATAGTTGCAAATGAACTGTAAGCATTAATTTTAAAATTGGAATAGGAAAGGCAAGATTTAGGAATATCAGTGTATGTTTGAAAGTATGACTTGTGTGAAACACAGGCATATGAATGTTGACTTTACGGTAAAGGAGCATAGGTTCTGAAAGAGAAATTAGAGATTCATAGAAGGAGGTATAGAATTGACCCTGAGCAGGCCAGCTTGTGCCTTAGCAATGAGTGACAATACATATTTCCCTTTTATCTACCTTATGATATGCACATTGAGTTCTTCATTTAAATCCTTTATTAATTTCCCTCAAATACCTTCTTGAGGTCTTGTTTTAGGCCAAGTTTAGGCTTCTTAAATAGGATCTTTTTTTATGGTTTGTGTATTTACAAATTTATGTCTTTATACATTATTTCATGTGAAATTTAAGAAAGTAGTTTCTATACTAGTTTAAAACCTTATGTAGACTGGGCACAGTGGCTTATGCCTATAATCCCAGCACTTTGGGAGGCTGAGGCAGGCAGATCACCTGAGGTCAGGAGCTTGAGACCAACCTGGTCAACATGGTGAAACCCCATCTCTACTAAAAAATACAAAAATTAGCCTGGTGTATTGGCAGGTGCCTGTAGTCCCAGCTACTTGGGAGGCTGAGGCAGGATAATCACTTGAACCTGGGAGGCGGAGGTTGCAATGAGCCTAGATCACAACATTTCACTCCAGCCTGGCGACAGAGTGAGACTCTGTCTCAAAAAAAAAAAGGAAAAAATAAATAAAACCTTATGTAATGAAGAGTGCCAGATTCATTTAGTGTTTGATCAGTTTAAAAGTTTTCCATGGTTTTTTGTTATGTATGAAGTCCTTCCCTTGATAATTGTAACTGTCAGTACTTTCTCAACTGTCGGCCTTCTCATTTTTCTTTAGATCTTCATGATTCTTTTGTTCTCTCATTCAGAAAATCTTAATTTTTAAGTAGCTGGTTCTAGAATACACAAATTCTAAGACAATTTTCTGTTAAAAAAATAGATTCGTGTGGTAATGATATTATAGTACATTTTATGCATTATGGCCAGAAATGTAGTTAGAAAGCTAAACATCCAAGAGAAATTTCCTTTTAGATTTGCTTTGATTTTTAAATGGGTAATTTTCTCCCTCTCCCCTTTTTTTTTTTTAATTTGAAGATAAGCTAGCTATTAAATGCTTAGAGAAAGAATTATTTACTCCTATTGTCTTAGCCCCCATTATCTTAACTTTTAGCACACTGTTTAACAAAGCCCAAAATTTGACCAGTAACAAACACTAGCTTATTTTATAGCATTCTAATTGAATTAAACGTCAACCTTTTGTCATTAAAAGTAAGAAAAAATGTAAAAATATCATTTTCCTGGGATGTTTTAAATTCATACCTGAATAATGGAACCTCCAGATGCAAAATAGGGAACAGTGTCCCAGCTGTTATTGACAGATAATTGTGCTTTGCCAAAATCTTTTTTTTTCTGCTGATCTGTCTAATTAACTAGAAGATTCCCTGTAAGAAGTAAATGAGAAAAAAAAAAAAAGAAGTAAATGAGACATTACTATTTCAACTGATTGTGAATGAAAACTGAATTTGATTAAGCAGCTTTTGAATTTGTAGGTGAATCTTTTTCTAGACCCCATTATTACTTTATGTTAATGGACACTAATACTTTTAGAATACTGGCAACTTCCCTTGTAGAAAAGTTACGAAATACATTATTATTGTCACTTGCATGGTCAGTTGCATTTCCAAACCATCTACTATCATAGGCCTTGTATAAAGAATGGTAACAGCTATGGTTACCATTGGTTTTAAGAATATGTTTCATAGATAAATGATATTATTTTTAAAATATGAGACTAGGTTTGAAAGTTTAAAACTTCAAATCTTGAAGATTTTCTCTTAGGAGACATTTGAAAATTATTATTATTATAAATAGCTTATAGCATAGAGATGGTAATACAAAATATGTTCTAACTTTGATTATTATTATTATTATTATTATTATTTTGAGAAGGAGTTTCGTTTTTGTCACCCAGGGTGGAGTGCAATGGTGTGATCTCAGCCCACTGCCACCTCCACCTCCCAGGTTCAAGCAATTCTCCTGCCTCAGCCTTCCAAGTAGCTGGGATTATAGGCGTCTGCTACCACACCCAACTAATTTTTTTGTATTTTTAGTAGAGACAGGGTTTCACCATGTTGACCAGGCTGGTCTCGAACTCCTGACCTCAGGTGATCCACCCGCCTTGGCCTCCCAAAGTGTTGGGATTACAGGCTTGAGCCACCACCCCGGCTGGCTTTTGTTTTAATGTAATATGTCATAGATTCTTTTTAAATGCACCTTCCTGTGTTGAATCCTTCTTGTGAAAAAAAATGCACCTTCCCCTGGTATCCATGTATTTTACTAAAGCTTTGTCAATATAGTCATTTCATGAATTTTGGATTATTTCTTTAATGGAAACTATAGTTTTTCTTTGTTTCATTTATC